AAATTCCAGTTCTTAACCAATCGAACAATGCAAATTTAAACTAAAACTCGTGCGATCTGCTCAACTTTTCATTTGGATGAGGAATTCCCCAATATTTCGAAACGTAACATCTGTCACACCTTTCACTATTTTATCGAGATTTGTTGCTACGTTTTCAATCGTTTCGCATTTGAGCATATGAAGTAAAGGAATCAATCACCGAATGTAGTCGCATATTATTTTTAACGATGAAAATTCTGCATCATCTTCAGTTTTGCTCTTTTTCTGCCAGTCTGCGTTTTGTTATCAATAATCAAATGTTATTTCTGTTTGGAAGGATTTTGAAATTCTTTCCACATCATAAAGTTTCGTTTTTCTAATTGGTCGATTGTCTATCGGTTCAAATTCCTTTGTCGTAAATAGAAATAGACTCTGGTTTGATCTATCATACACATATATTTTTGTTTGTTTGTGCGCACATAGATTCATGCTGGAGATAAGTGAATGTATGCGAGTGACCCTGATTGAGTGAGGGGTAACGCAAGCAAATCGCGTCTCATCATTAATCTACAGTAATCCAAATTAATCGAGTGAAACGCAGTGTGATGAACAATTACATGCATCATCGTAATATATATATGACGCGTGCATAAACATTCATCGAAATGATACGTGCAGTGTGCGAAATGAATGAGAAATGATTCTGATAAAGGGTGGTGGCANAATGTATAACAGGTTGTATATTCAGGAGGACGATCTGTTTGACTTGGATTCACTCTGTTATCATGAATCGCCATCAGTGGATGATGAATGCGCATCTGTGAGCGCTACAAGTTCATCGTCTTCCTCGAGTCCATTCTTCAGGCAAACCTCACTGATCGATCATGGTAAGACTCATAAACATTTCTCCGGGCATCATATTTGTCATTTTAATAGAGTCATCTTCTTCAGATTCATTCGTGAACAATTAAAGTAGCGCAACTTAATGAAATACATGGAGTTAAGATATTTTACCATTTTTTGAAATATCAGTGGTGTTGTTCAAGGAGAAATTTTTCATGGTCAAGTAACACTTTTCTCTGTCGTTGAACTTTTCAATGAACTTTTAATGTGGTACGATTTCATACTCAAAACTAATGTGAGCAGCAAACTGTCTTGAGTGAATCTAATTACGCGTGAAAAATACCGGTTTTATGTTCATTTTGGTTGCGCTTAGATGAATCGTGCAAGGAGTGCTTCATTACTGAAGAGAAAAGTTGTGCATTATTCATGCAAGTGAATTGAGAAACAAAATGCTGGATGAATCGACTGAATGAATGGACAAATGATTTAAGGTATAAGTGAAAGTGATCAGCATTCGGAGATCAGTGACTGCACGACGCGTTTAAGTTCATCGTTGTCGCTCGAGAAAGGGATGAGCGTTTGTTCGAATGATGATGTCGATAATGAGGTGAATGAACAAGCGTCTGGTGCTCTGAACGGTTCATTGGGTACGGGTATTGGATGGAATCCATTTAGAAGAGCGTCTGCTATGGCCAGTATTGGCTTAAGAAGACAGCACTCAATAAATGCCAAAGAGCCTGATACGGTTAGTGATGAATCTGGTTATCAGGATGGAACAATCAGTCATTCGGATGACGAAGGCATTCTGGCTGAACAAGATGAAGGCGACTTTGCCGAAGATGAGTATGACATTCAGGTTACTGCTCTTTGAATATTACGTTTCCAGATGTGATTCTGATGATGTTCTATAGATATATCGTTTTATATACATATACATATGTAGATTCAGTTCTAATTTATTCATCTTCAAACTATACGTAATCAGTTCATGAATTCTCGAATGTGCTTAAGTGTTTGACAGTCAGGTGGAAGGGATGATGGCATTCACTTTATCAATTGATTTGACGATCACTGCGGAGTCATTAATGACGAATTTTAAATCTCTTGTTGCAATCCATTTTCCACCTAATCACAAAATTATTCACTTCAGTATTTGAAATCATATCAGCGGAATGCTATAGCCATATAGATCGAATTACTCTCCACTTGAAATTAGCTTTTCCCTCTGGAATCTATTGAAGTGTTTGTTTTAGTTGCACTGAAATGTAATAGCACAGTAGAGGAGAAAAATGTTTGCTGTTGTAATGACTGTGTATTTAATATTGTCTATAACTCACCTATTGTTATTTATTGTTACGACTAATATCTGCCATTTATTTTTGCTTCTCGAAGCAGACAGTTTTGTTATTGTTTCGTTGATGTATGAGTGAACCATATCAAATGACATTTGATTTTGATTCAGAAAGAAATTTAGACGTAAATTTTATTGACGATTTTCATTACTCTGCTGTATAATAATTTATATCTGAAATATTGAACTTCAAATTTTCGGTCGTTTATCATCAACGAATCGAACGAAATTTTTGAGTGTTTTAAAAAATATTTCGTCATTAATATATATATTCCTCAGTAGTTCATCATTTAGGCAAAACATTGAATGGGAATGATGCAGATAACTGCTAATAATGATATCATCATCATCATCCAATATATGCGTGTACAACGGCTGTCACTTATTATTGAGATATATTGTTTTCCATGAATAGACATAGGCGACGAACAAGGTTTCCATCTTTCAATCACTTCATGTGCCCCATTCGCTTGTATTTTGCATTAATCTGATGTTCGTCTCAATATTTGAGAATTATGCATCGACTTGTGTGCTTTGTTAGTGGTTAGAATTTATGCAGTAGTGTGTCTATGTTCATCTCGAATTATCCTTTGTGCATTGAAAAACAATAAATTTTTTCAATATTTTTATCTGTGCCATACATCTATCCGTCGTATTTGCTTTTGCTTTTTCGCAATTTATCTGGATGGTTCCTTATCGCAGAAAGATTTTCTTTTTGTTTGCTTCATTTTCATTGTAATATTTATTTGCATTTTGTATGGTTTTGTTGTATTATCACGTAATATTATCGCATTGTTCGTGTTGTGATTGTCGACAAATTCATTAAAATTGTGAAAGATTCAATTGCTAATGTTGTTACTAAAGTTCAATTACTTCTTTGTTCAATTTCATTAATTTTATCAACTTTTTGTTGATCAATTACTCTGAAGTTGCACTGATAATGCAGTCAATACTTGTTGCTGAACAAGTGCGAATGTAGTATACGAATTTATTGTGCTCATCATTGCTTTCTTGATTTGCATTTAAGTTTTTTTTTTGTTTTTTTCCATAATAATGCTTTCATTCGGCAATTTTGTTCATTCTAATAATGTATCGTTTAAACGATTAATATTGTGTCCACGCTTCGCTACACGCTGAACATAGCCCATTATCACGTTTAAGCAATTATTCTACAGTTCGTTCTGTCCAATTTGCTTCATCGCTTTGTGCTAGTTTCATATGCAATTAGATGGCATTTGCAAAGGTCGGCTATATAGGTATTTTCGTTGAAAAAGTGGTGTGTGCACAAACAGAACGTGAGAAATGCACTCATCGTGGATCGAATCGAATCATCACCAATCAAGAGTGAAGTAATTAATTGTGTTTGCAGTAAAATTTTTGTGGCAACTTCGAAAGTTCATGTTCAGCAGAAAATCCCATAGAACCTTCAAAACTGATTCTGTCGTTCATTTTCTCACGAATTTTCCTCCCAATAAGCGAACATTGTAATTGAATTGTTCGCATCGGATGGACTATACTTACTGCAATCGAAAGAAAATCCATCCAAGAACGTTATGATGATTAAACGTTATGATTAAATACGAACGTTATGATTATACTTACTACAAAAACGTTATGTTATGATTAAATACAAGCAGCGCATGAAAGGTAGATGAAGATGGTTACGGTGCTCGAAGTACGGCACTGATGCAATTATTTCTGGCAGTCTGTTTGCGTGAATGAAAAAATTTTTGAAGTTTTCGGGGCTGCTTTCTCGAATACATCTATTGAAATTGAGATGTGGGGTTTGAAGCCTATAAGAAATGAACCGTCGAAATCGAGCGAGCTGTTTGCTAGGTTCGCGCTGCTATTAGGCATAGAACTTCAAAATATACTTATCGCTTTCAACTAATGCAGTTCACTATTGTTTTAGAATTAAGCATGTTAACACATAATCGCTGTGTAATCGATCGCCGTGACTTCAGTTGCTGTACAATTCATGACAATTCTATTCATCTTCTTAGAATAACGAATGAATGTACTGTTATGAAAGCACACAAATGTCGAAAAAAATTTGTGTTCAAAGATGTTGCGTAGAGGTGGGATTATTGTCTAGAAAGGAGTTCCGTATACCAATCATGTTCACTAGAATGAAGAGGTTCCACGGACTTAGGTTTGTTTCTATGCTGCGGGGACAAAAGCTCTGGCCTCGCGTTGGCAACGTTGTGTGGAGTGTTGGCAACGTTTTTATTTTGAATAAAAATGTTGATTTTAAATTGAGTTATAAAACTGTAAAATTTTGGGTCTAACTACCCGAGAACTTTTTGCCATACCTAATATATGACGGACTGATTCATTATTGATGACACTTAAGGTTGCAAGACTGAGATTCAAGAGTTTTGACGAATCAGCTCACAGTCATTTAGTGAGATTTGGTTTGTGTGAGAATCAAGTGACTGCTCTACAGTACACACTCCTCTATTGGATCATTTAATTTGTAGCCACAGAACTTTACTATTCATCCAGTAAAGTTTCCGTCGTTGCATTCACTGCAAAACAGGAACTTGACATATTAATGAACACAGTTCCGTGATAATTGCAAAGTTGGTTGTTCTCATCTTGATGAGATACATAAGGCATTCAAAAGTGGATGGAATGCTTACATGAGTGATGTTTAACTTACTTAAAAATGTGAATTCATCAACAAATTTACGCATCATTTATGTGCGTTTTGGTTTCCTTCATTTTGAATGTTGGGGAACAAAACTGCAGAAAATTTCATCTATCAGAAATGTTGCATATAACACAATCTTTCATCATCACTGTAGATGCTTGAAGCGTTGGAGCATTGTTTCATCCAATCAATCGTTGTAAAGAATTTGAAAAGGCGAAAAAATCGCAAAATGAGCACTGCCTCAAAAGCGTTCAAATGATTTACAGTGGTATACACGGAACATAATTGCTCCTTCATAGATGTGAACGTTCTCGTGTGTCGTTCTTTCAGAATTGAATCGATCCATCGATGTCTGCCATCATCTACTCTTTTCATCTAGAGATGTCTTTTCTTCTCAAGAAATTCAACAGATTGAAAAAAATGGTGATCTTCTCACTTGAATAGGTCAGATGATCATAAATTCACCAAGTCGAATATGCTGAAGTATGAACAGCATGAAACGATACTGAATTTTACTTATCACGAAACCAACAGTTCAGTCCCGTTCTTTTTGAGTTGCATTAAAGTGACAGTTTTTGTCGCAACCACTTTTTTGTTGAATTGTATGGATGTGTTCAAATCACTAATCGATTATTTTTTCTTGTTTTTCCACATTTCTTCCACTTCTACATAATATCATGAATCGACAAAAATCGCATCGAACAAAGGATAAACTCATCGAAATGAAACAAAACGAACCATTCGAAAAAAGAGAACTCAATGAAATTAAATTATTATCAAATATCAATCATTCTACAGTCGTATTTATATTACAAATGCAATGAAAATGCTGCGAATGAAAAAGACGATCAATCTGTTGCTATTTTGTAAGGATACAATCATTTACGTCTTTTGTGTAGCACAAAAAATGTAGAAAGGAAACAATGACCAATAGTGTTACTCTTGATTGCTGAACATCGAGAAACGACGCAAAGATCCTTACACATAACACGATCTCCCTAACTGCTCCCCACCTTATAAACAGAATAGATTGGTGAAGGACAAAATGAGGTGAATGGAAACTTTTTTAATGAGCAGGACAGATCTTATAGTCATAGAAACTGGAAGTTTTCAGGAATTGTTAAAATTACGTGAACTTGTACGCTATTCAGTGATGGATGAAATTTTAAAACCTCATGAAAGTGACAATATTTTTGTACCTTCTAAACAACAATAATAACAACAACAAATTGATAAACATCACAAGGATTGTAAAAAATATGTATAAATATATTCAATCCGCAAACATTCGTTTGGCCTTTTGCTTTGCTATTTTAGATGAATAGCAATAATGAATGAAACAAATGTACTGAAGTACTGAAGCGAATGAAGAACATAAAATATAAATTAAACGCGAACAAAAAAGGAGAAGACAAGAAAATTCGTCGAGAGAGATTGAACTGAGAATTTGGAGTGCTGAATACAATAGTGGACATGCAACTGCTATGTGCTTCATGCTATCGCTTCAAGACACTCTTAAGTCGGGCAGGCAGGCACCATAGCATTGACAACAACAACACGAAAGTACTCCGAATGAATTAGTGAGCAAACTGATTGGTACAAGTTAGTAACGGATTGACGTTCTTTTGAACGGAACTTTTGTGAACAATTATTTGTCACATTGGATATTGTTCCGAGGTTATATTATTTGCTGATTGCTTTCGTTTGGGTTAGTTGTTAGTGAAGTATGGATTATTACTTGACTCAAACGTTACTGATTAATTTGACGCAAATCGATCTGATCGGGACTTGACGCTTGCAAGCGATCATCACAATGAGACAGTAATCATCAGTTTTCTTTAAATCACATCTGCACCTAGGTTACAAAAGAGAGATTTAAGATATTACAAAAGACATGAAACAAACGTCTTTGAAGACGTAATAATTATGGCGTAAATTCGGATGAATTTGCACGGATACAAAAGTTCCAGAAAGTATTTGTCACTATTGCACTCGTCATTTTGTCACCACTGAACAATCACAAGCTATTTGTTGAGCTAAAAAATGAAACTTTCCAAGCGAATTCATCCGATAAAAATATGAAAATGCATTTTCATACGGTGGACAATACAACGTTTATGGAACGTTAAAAAAAATGATGCGTAAACAACAATATGACAAACAAGTGTTATAGNATACGGTGGACAATACAACGTTTATGGAACGTTAAAAAAATGATGCGTAAACAACAATATGACAAACAAGTGTTATAGCATTAATGACGTTAATAATGCTTACAATCGTATTGGAACAAGAATAACGCACACAATAAAAATGTTATTGTTCATCGAAACGATTAGAGAATAATATTGTTTCGCTTCACCTTACATATACTGCTTGGCGATAGCGGGAGATCGATTATCGTTCAGCTGGAGATACTGATCGAAATCACGAGGATTCAAGTCCTGAGCAGTTAAATCCTGAAATACAATTGGTTTGGTTCATTCTTGAAACAGTGCTGATTAAGGCCTTTCACTGAGTTCAGTCGCAAGCATGATAACCTATATTCATACTTGATGTTTTTGTGAGAATTCAGGAAAAATTCAATAAACGAAAACTTCCACATGTTTCAAGCCTGTTCGATTGTTGTGACAATTGAGGAATGCAATCAGACATAAAAAAAGATTAGTGTGAACGTAGCATCTTCAGCGTAGAAATGCACATTATTCGANAATTGAGGAATGCAATCAGACATAAAAAAAGATTAGTGTGAACGTAGCATCTTCAGCGTAGAAATGCACATTATTCGATCGCAAACACAAACGAAAAACATACTCGAACAAGATTCGGATCAATATGATGCGCTCCCTGCATCGGTGTCATTCCCATTTGAACGGATGACATATAATCAACTTCCATCGTATTATCAACAGCCGAATCGTTCGATATATTTCGCTGTAATCTATTCAAGTATCTTAACACGTTTTGAGCGACAATTATAAAACGAAAACGCATCGCAACTTCAATTCCGGCAACAACATCAACAAAACATCTTAATTGATGCTGAATTTTTGTCTGCCACCAAAAACTGATGATGAATAAGCAGAATTTGTACTGAACGCATAGCAATTCAGACTGACGAATTGCGAAACTCACGTTGTGGGCATAATAGTTGGTCGGCATCACTGGAGGACGTCCTTGCTGAGTTTGACTACAGTAATTCGAATACGCCTGAAAATATTTCGTACAACCGTGAAATATTGATAACTCTATCGTCAAGCCAACAATGCATGTGATGTAATGAAAGTGTTCTCCAGCAGTCAATGAAAATGATCACCTGAGGCATTTGAGAGCTTTGCATTGGCGAGACAGGTGCTGGGTATTGCTGAGTGCTTTGCCATTGTGGATCGATTAAACCCTTTAATCAACGCAAGATTTATTCAAATTGGTTACAAGGCGATGTCCTCCCTCATAATAACAAATTACACGTTGACAATAAAAGTGATGCTGATGTTAAGAAGTTGAACGAACTTCGACACTCTAATTGGCACTGCCTGATTGTGAGTGGAAAATAAATGCAAAACGCATCACCTCACAAAAATAAACTAACTATAAGACAATCTCATCAGTGAAATTAGTCCCCATCATTGCATATTCACTAAAGAAACATATGATTCATTGAATAAGTAAATAAATAAGTTCCTACAGAAGTGGATGCGATAATTTGCTCATATAAACCAAATACGGTTGATCGTTTGAGGTTATGCTTAATATGAAGAGAAGTTAAACTGATTGCTATGCTTAACTCTACGTATACAACCAAAACAAATTTAAAAGGTTATGCAAATATTTACTCATCTAATATTTATTGGTGAACACCAGTATGACAATAATGAAGTTGAATGTCATCAAATAAACAAAACCAATCAGTGCGCTCTCCAAAACCGGAAGCACTATACGAGTAGTGAAGTGCGATGTAGCTAGGATAATGAAGAAACAAAAAATATTCCAGACAAATTTACTTCTCTGCAAAGCTGTTGCTGTCTTTGTTGCATATCACGTCGTTCCATTTGTAACTGTTGTACCAAAGACGACGAACAATCCTTGAAAAAACTTCATTGATATCCATTTATGATTCAACACATCCATATCAACTGACTATGCAAAGTGCAAATGAACAAGCGAAATTTGTTCACTTATTCGATGGGAACAGAATCGGTTTTCAAGAGTCATAAATTTTTACTGATCAGTAATACTCATCTACTCACGCAACAGCTACCACACATAGTAATAAGCACTAACACACCGATCAGATGATTATTGAAACAAAAATGAGAATCGTGATCTTTCAAATGAATCTGTCAGTTTCTTTCACTCAAATCCACTCACTGTCTGTCTTGTTCGCTTGGCACAACAATTCGAAATAGTCGGTGATTTCTGGCCAAGAAAATTATAATAATCTTAATTAAACGACAGAAGTAAGTATGGTGATTTTACTTGTGATGAATCATAGGGATTTGCTCTGGATTGATCAACATTCTCTTGCCTACCACAGGCGTGCCTTTGTCGGATTCGCTCCTCTTGTAAATGGCGTGCTTAAATTAAAATATAACACTTCTGGTATGTGGCAATGGAGTAATATCCGAAAAATCACCATTGAAATCAACAGTCTAATGAACGCTCGATTCATTTGTTATTGTTCGAAAATTTCCTTCAGAAAGTACTCCACGATAAACTGATAATAGTAACCAATATGATGTGTCATTATTATAATACTTATTCAAAATGAGAATGCAGTAAATGAATTGCGTTCTCATCAAAAACATCACGAATGATGAAATTTTGATCGAAATAAAAAGATAAATTCTTTGACAGCTCACCATCAAATAGCATTAAGAGATTGTCACAAAGTGAAATTTGAAATCACTCACTCCCACTAAAGATATCAAATAAAGTGCAACATTTCTTGAACTCATCGCTGTTTATGAGGAGATATATTATCCTTAGAATGACTGAATGACTCTAATTTGTTTAAAAGATCTGAGCGTACTGAAATTTGACGCTCACAAATGTGCTTGCACAAGAGTTGCTACGTTCACATTTCGTTCAAGCGTAATCATTAAACAACACTGTGCAATGCCACCGCTTCCGGCTTTGACTGAACACATAACGAAATTGAAATGTGAGATGAGATGAACTTTGATAGTGCTGATCGGGATTAGCACAATAACTCTTGATCGCATTTCCCTTCACAACTTTCAGTACATTTATCTTGCAATTACACAGGTCAGGGAGCCTCTATTGTATCCAAAATCTCTCGATGAGCATCCAAATAGTTGATTTTACAATTGAGTAGTTTGCATAGACCAGAGCACTTACGTATTCTTGGATCATACCATGTTGTTGTTTGATTTATATGATCTATAAAATATGGATCTCCATTTTGATCGTAATTTTTCATCCATCCTTCCGGTAACGGTCCAAGACCGTCGTCTAGATCCTGAAATCAAAAGGACTGAAATGGATAACAAAGACTTGACTTGTTGCATGACATGCCATCGTGACAAGAAACTTTTGCTTTCTTATAACGTATATTCGATAAATTCCATTCGAGTATCTGGATGAGGAAATGATTATTGAAAATAGAACGAAATGAATCGACAAACATTCGGTTGCAAAGAATGTCCCACAGGTTGCTGTTGAATCTGCTGAGGTTGAGGCTGATTTTGTGGATTTTGCATAATCGTTGGATCATTCATCGCTAATGCCAGCGGATCCAGTGACTGACTCTTGGCACGTGGATCACTCCAATAGGTCATCTTTGAGTCGTGGCTATAACTATCTTCCCAAGTCACGGTTTCTGCACAACGGCATACAGATATACCATTAATCCTTGCAACAACCAAACAGTTCAATTGACTATTTTACGTGACTGATAAGCAGATATAAGCCGAATCATAGTCTGGCTTAGGCCCGATAACATCAGTGACATTGGAATTGAGTTTTGTCTTCAATCAGAAAACAATCCGCACTCATTTATACAGCATCAATATGCATTGATAAAAGATTCCTTGAAAGGATCAAATTGTTTGCGCTGTGATGAATTTGGATCAAGTGATTGCCTTCTTGCTTGCATCAAAAATTTTCCATCATTGATGAAAGGAGTTCTTTGCTAGTTGAACTTTTTTGTTATAATTCCAGTCGTAAATTTGGAATGGTTTCAGTGGATTCAAAACAGGGCGATGCTCAGCTTGCTGATCTCCTTCAACATCTATAAATTAATCAAGAAGTTTATGGACCCCTTGAAATTTATATTCCGTGCAATTTTCTTCGTCACTATTTGCGTTCTAGTACGACAGAACCCCTTGAAGTTTTGTTCTAATCGAAAATGAACTAACGTTCTTTCTAAACAGCGACTAACTGTGTACGACTTTTCATCGTTGTTTTAGTCAATATGAAGAAACTAAAAACTGTTGTGATTTTAAAATGTGACCGAATCATAGATTGATAGAGAATGAAACATAGAAACAGCTGACGCTTTTCCAGAGGGAATCGATGGATCAGTTGGAAAATAGTGGCGAGTGACGTTTGTACGATGATGACTGGGCTTTGAAGTCAACACCTACACGGTTCGTTCACTTCACAGAGAACTTAGTACAGCTTAGTGATTTGTGTTAAAGTGCTAAGGTTTACTTCCCTTTTTTTAAAATTAAACTTTTTTNTTTTTTGAATGTCCACAGGAAAATAAACGCTTCAGAAATGATTTGGGTGCGTCAGATGAAGCCTATAAATGCTTATTGCATGAAACGGTCAACAAGAGCCTCTGCAGTTGCCAAACAAATGAAATTATCTTTAAATGAGTTTTCGAACCTCCATATTATATTTTGCCGAATGTCAAGTTGAATTCGAAGACAATCAGATGAAGTAATAGAGGAATGTTTCTTTCAATTTTTACATGGTCACACTCATTTTCAGTAACAGTGGATTAGTTTTCTCAAAATTGACTTCTCAACCATGAGCGATTATACACATTACAACGTTCATTCTTCATGCAGATGTTGATGAGAATCAAGAAAACAAAACTGCGCGTTCTCACAAAATCCTTGTCAGTTAACTGATGATTTTTTGTTTGTGTTGATGATGAACAACCAACAGTTTAAAGAATCATATGAATTTATACACTCTACTGGATTTATTGTTATCAAAGAATATGAGAAAAGAATAGAGATCTTTTTAAAAATTATCTCCTTAATAAAATCAATCACAATCGTTTACTTTCATGTTGATGAAATGTTTTGTTAATTTTCTAAGATTCAGTCAACTCATCCACTGAACATTGCTATAGCACTTTTTCTATAGTTGATCAATTAAGTAGCATACATCTAAACCAACGCACTGGTCTCATACTCAATTGAATTCGTTAAGTTCAAAATTTCTTGATTTTTGATCATTCGAAGTACAATTACCATGGATTATTTGAAAATTTAGGAAGCACCAAACGATTCATTTGATGGTTACCTTCAAAACAGTTCATCAATCAGTTCTGAAACGATGTAGACTAACACAATCGAATTTGCGATTTGTGATGAGCGAATGTGATTTTATTTATACATCCGGTATCGTCATTACCCGGGTGATTACTTACCAAACATCGGCTCCAAAGTCACTATCAAAAAAAAACAGTGAGCATTTCCGCTTGATCGCCGAAGTTCAATCAAAAAGACTGTACGGAAAGTGGCAAACATACTCGATGTAGAATGGCTGTCCATCAGGTGTGA